AAAAATTTATACTTCAAGAATAAGATTTTTTTATGAAGGTATGAAACGAAGTCGGTTATGTGATCAAATCCTATATCGCCAAAATGGCTCGTGCAGTTTGCTTTCCATACTCCACAACATCTGATCATTTGACCAACTGTGTGTTATTGAACGTTTATATTTTCCTTTTTTTTATTCTTGTCACAAAGAAATACAATCACTATTTCAACTTTGCTATTAAACTGCGAAATAAGGTACATAAGATATCGTGTGACGTCATATTTGGAACAATTTAAGTGGCTCGTGCAGTTTGCTTTCCATACCCAAGTACTAATGATCTAGACCAACGGAATGCCACTGAAAAATTAATCTCAATTGAATTTGTGTTACTTTATAAATACATGTGTAAGGCATCGGCAAAAGTCAGTTTAATGATTTGTCATCCCTTTTTTACGTATATACACATTTATTATTGATGTACAAAGACAGTAAATGGCAGCTTATGTTTTGTTGTGTTGCATCTATTAACTATATACACGTTTTGTTATATACTTTATTACCACTGTCGTAGTTTGTGAACTGTGCCAAACATTGTTCAATAAAGGTACATATTAACCTTTCATACTGGAATTCGAAATTTCTTGCCAAATAATGAAGACATGAAATAAATAAACTGTTCAAATTAAAACTTTAATTTTAAAATCAATCATACGAGGGTTGTCCGTAAAGTTCGTGGACAGGCTAAGAATTAAATAAATGTTGCATCATTGATATTTATTGTTAGCATATTTCTAATTCTTTACTAAATGTGAACTGAGAAATGTAAAATCGGATTCCATTTTAAATGTTTAATTACAATTATGACTTCGTAATCGGACTTGGTGTGGAGACCCAGAACACCGCTAAATTTTGATAAAAAAAATATTTATCACGTTATAAATTTCATTTGTATTTCATAAAATTCTGCATAAATCTGGATAACTTTTACATTATGAGGTTGACAAAAGTGATCACTTCAAACCTGCAAAATTTGAAAAATCAAAGTTGTAAAATGGCTGAGCAATCAAAGTAAGTACATATTAAGACGGATCGGAATTGTTCAAAAAAGGGACATTTTTGGAAAAGGTGGAGCAGTGAGCAGTGATAAAATTCCGGATAGACATCGGACAAAACAACTACAAAGACCAATACATTCTATAAACAATCGGGAAAACATAGTAAAAGAAGCCGTACATTATTATTAAAGTGGCCTATAATATTTTCGGACGGAAGGAAAAGTTTACAGGATGACTTGCGTGAAGAAAAACCATCAATCCGAGATTGCAGGGCTGTAAAAAATGATCTTCGTTACGTTACTTTACAGTCACTGCTTGAAAAAACACCTTTACAAAACTTTACTTGTGAAGTAAATTTCATTAAAGGTGCTCCCAAAAGCAAGGTCATCTTTGTATTAACTTTACAAAAAGTAAAGGTGAAAAGGTAACCTTTAATTACACGAAAAGATAATTAAATATAACCTTTCACCTTTAATGCCATATTAAAGTTCATTAAATATACATATTGTAGAAAATTCTTATTTAAATGCTGACTATTGTTTAATACACTTATTCTTTGGATTTTCACAGTTAGTTTAAAGAATCTAATCTAGTCAGTATCCAGAATTTTAAGACAAATGTCATATATTGTTTTTATTATCTTGTATCCATTTCCAGTGGAAATTAGTATTAGAAATGGTCATCTACAGATTCAAACACTCGACTCATCATTATTTGACAGACTACACCTCAAATAATACAACACCTATGATGTAAGCCAGGTTAGCTTAGTTGGAGCAGCTGGCGTTTATTATGATACATGTAACAAAACATAAATTTTTAACATACATTACATTGAATGTGAAACAATAAAGCACTGCAATGCATTTGCAAAATAATTTACATGTAATAAATTGTATCCCTATCACTAACATTAAAAACCGCCCAGGCAAAAACCATAGATGGTTAACTATGGAAAACCTGTGTCCGTCGCTATGTAAATAATGTCTCAAAGGAGAATGCCGGACGTGCATTCGGTGCAATAGTTAAAAATGCATGAACATCCTATAATATTTGCATGTATGAAAAAATCAAAATTAAAATACATTTCAACAGTTTTGTTATTTCCATTACCAGTATATTTATACAAATATGATATATATAAAGCAAAAAAATTGTGTGTGTATTTAAGAGCACTGGCTTAGAATGATATGAACATATTACTGAATACTCATTTCTCATTGGCTTTTCTTTGGCCACGCCCACATATACAACCAAAACCATTATACATTCCTCGCATACAAAGTATTCCCGCTATACTGCGAAACACAGGAAAAAAATATTATCTGCACCAGAATTGCCTACAACTCTCTGAATTGGATGACATAGATCTTTAATATGTACATTGATATTAATGATAAAGTAATTAAAAATATAACAATGGGAAAAATTGGCATACTGATATTTTTCATTTTCCAATCAAAAATGATCTAAAATATTCTGTATTTTTGCTTCTCATAATATGATGAGTCAGATATACAGCACAAACAATATCCAGTTATAACCTTGAATATAAACATTATATTGAGCTATCTTTGACTTTTGTTTTCCTTTAAACATTCAGATACATGTGAGAAAAAATCAAAAAAGAAATACAGATGACAAGTATAAATTTCACATTTCTGCTTATGAAATGGAGGTCTCATTTCACTTTAAAATATAATACTAATACATGTACAATATTTATTCTTTATGATGCATGTACATATATAAAATAAACTTTGCAGTTTAAATTGAATTAAAAATGTGAAAAAAATTACATAAAAGGCTATTTGATTTGCACTTATTATACACAGCCTAATAACATCTTCAACTTGTAATGCAAAATGATGCATTTTACATATTCACAAACACAAAATATGGTGAAAAATCTATTAGAATAGATGCTGGGATGCAGTTTGCAAAATGCATGAGATCATGTACGAGTCCAGCTTCACCCCGTGAGTCTGTCTATGTTTGATTAAGTTTAGATTTGTTTTTATGTCTGTGGTAAATGTTAGTGTGTTTGCATATGTGTCCAGCTTCACACATTTTCATGTATGTGCTCGACTTCACACGCCTTGGAAAATATGTAATAGGTTGTGGTAGATGCTTGTGTGTTTGCATATGTGTCCAGCTTCACACACCTTCATGTATGTGCTCGACTTCACACGCCTTGGAAAATATGTAATAGGTTGTGGCAGATGCATGTGTATTTGTGTATGTGTCGAGCTTCACACATTTTCATGTATGTGCTTGACTTCACACACCTTGGAAAATATGTAATAGGTAATGGTAGATGCATGTTTGCATATGTATCCAGCTTCACGTATTTTCATGTGTTTGCTCGATTTACACGTCATAAATGTAAAATATGTAACCAAGATGGTGTAAAACATTTACAAGTGTATGATGCACAAAGAGAACAAAAGTTCTGTGTGTTTTGTTCTGCAAAAAAATATATTATGTCCTGTTGAGAAACTGACAATCAAAATAAAGTAACATATTCATTTTACATAACTGTGCTGAAAATCACACATCAAGTTTAAATTACTGTACTGAAAATTGAATTTGTGCAAAAACTCTGAATGAATAACATTTAAAACCAAGAATGCTTGCATGTTCATCTATAAATCTCCAAGATATTTACTAGTTAGTTTGTAGCGCCGCATCAGGCAGTCTTATAACACATTTCATAATGTCAGTTTGCATGAATAAATCAATTTATCCTTGTTCCTCACATCTTGCTGAAATTCTAGTCTACAGTTTATTTACACAGCACATCACAAATAGAAACATTCAGGAAAAATAATTCACTAAAAATAAAATCCAAGTTAAATAATCACATGTACATAAAAATCCAAGAAATATTAGGTTATATTCCAAGTAAGTAAGTAACTTTATCTATCTCTAACAGTTCTATCTACTAAGTCTTCTATATTTCCATCTTCCTATCTTATTCTAAAATTCTGTCGCACTATATATATACTCAAGATCCGCTCCTGACGATCAGGAGCACATTACATGTATAAGATCCTTAAGATCAGGAATCAATACACAGGTCATTACAATCAGCAGGGGGTTATATAAGAGGCACCCTCTTAATATACAGATAAGATGATAATGTGTGAACAATTCAGTATTGAAGAGTTATATTACAGATAAGATATTCTAAATCGCTACAAGTTTACAAATTTTTGATCATATCATTGATAACAGTACATTTTCTTGATCATGACATCTGTTTTGGATTCCCCTCTCTGACATCTTTTCTTGTTCACCAATTAGTTCAACAGTCTTCTGGGTACTCAGGTGTTGTACAAGTCCTAATAATAATAATTTTCAAAATTATAAAGAAAAAAAAATACAATTTTTAAATATGTTTTCATTACTTCTATTGAAATTAAAGCACAAGCTTTTGAAGACATACTTAAGTAACAACACATGTATAACTAAACATAATGGAAATTTAGACAAAGCGAATCAATGTCATGCAAACATATGATAGTGATACATCTGTAATATCCATGAAACTTACTGAGATACTTAAAATGTTTATGGTGTGCTTTCACTAAGCTTAGCAGTATATAAACATCTCTTGATTAAATGTTGAAGTCCAATCCTCACCTGACTTGCACATTCATATGGATTGGTTCTATGTTGATAATCTCTTTCAACTATCTTTCACAACATCTGAAAGTCATCAATCTTCAAAATTAAATCTGACGCTCACCTCTCAAGTGTATATAGACTCCTTGTACAAATGCATAGAAAATAAGATTTTGAATAAAAAATGAATTATCTCCATATCACCATACCTGGCCTTTTTAAAAATGTGAGGAATTATTTAAAATACTTTTCTTTAGATAAAATCATGTAGTAAGTATCTAACAATGTTGAAAAAAAGTTATCTCTAGAATTTTACATTTATATATTGAATGTAAAAAAAAATCAAAAGACATTACCTAAAATGGAAATAAAGTACAACTGTGACTGGTGTCTCAGGCACAACCAATATACACAAGACCTTTCCATCCTTAGCAGCATGCATTAGCTCCACATTCCTTGCTTCTACAAAAATATACAATGAAAATTTGTTAAAAAATGAGAGCGAAGCTTTATATTGAATGAAAAATGCATTGTTCCTCTACTTAAAAAAAATCAAAAGGCATTACCTAAAATGGACATAAGGTACAACTGTGACTGGTGTCTCAGGAACAACCAATAAACACAAGAACTTTCCATCCTTAGCAGCATGCATTAGCTCCACATTCCTTGCTTCTGCAAAAAAATATACAATGAATATTTTTAAAAAATGAGAGCGAAGAGTGTAACATGTACTTCGGGGAACAGAGGAAGGGATTTTGAAGTCAGATTAGTTATATTTCTGCCAGTGTTGGCAGGGGCATAGTATCCGGGGGGCCAGGGGGGCTTGCCCCCCCCTCCCCCCACTTTTTTTCCAAAACTAACATACACTATTAGAAATGTACCAAAAATGTAGTATAAGAATTGGAACTAAATGCAGTTGTCACTGAGAAAAAGTTAACCCCCCTTAACTCCCCCCTTTATTGCCTCCCCCCCCCCCCCCACTTTCAAAAATTAAAAAAAAAAAAGATGCTACGCCACTGGTTGGGACGGATAAATTTCCATATTTAAATGAAACAAATTATGCGCAACAAATAAGACACATGTATTACCTTGCAGTCACCGGCCCACATAATGTATACAACTGACAATGTTCCAAAATCCCTTTCTTTGTTGTTTACTTGGCGGAATTTTCTTTGCCTTCTAGACTGGTTCCCAGCTCTGGTTCCCATACATTGCCGTGAATAAGTCCTACGTTTATTGGTTTTGTTCACAAGCTTCAACATCAATAAAATCTCCAGCACATTTACAGCTTGTATTGTAAACTAAACTGAAAAAATACTTTACACAATTTTTTTTTAGCTCAGTATTATGTTATCCTCTTCATTCAAGTAATATGTAAACTCTTCTCGAATGTAAAACGAACGATCTACTCTGAACAGTAACCCAAATATGGCACTGTGTATTCGGTTGAATAGCCAATCATTTCAAATCAAGTTGAGCGGGTCTGCATCGTTATTTTGACGAAGTTTGAAACCAGTGGCAATTTTTTGACACTTCATCTAGATTTAAGAAGATTCTTGCCTGAACATCTGCTCGAACTCCCGGGTTGACATGCTCTAAAGGTTTGTTTACGATTTCCAGTCGTTTTTACTTTCACTTTTCAGTACATTGTGCATGTTGTGAAAGAATGAAACTAATCAAAGTCACGGAAAACTACGCTTTGTATATTATTTTCTGCTAGGATATTAGATAAGTACTTTTTATAATTCTGGGATTAAATGTTTATGTGCGTCACTTTGTTCTGTTAAGGTGTATGAATCATAGGGGCTTGTCTGCCGGATTGATAAATGTAAAATATTTTTAAAAATTTGTATCTACAAAGACTACATTAACCATGTTAACTACACTCTAAAAGTTGCTTTAATAAAGATTTTGATCAGGCAAGAAAAATAATGTTGTAAGAAAAGTACTACACCTATAAGGGACCTATATATACTAACCTATATACATTACATGTACATAAACTCTCAACTTTGAGAGTTTATTTATTTTTATTTATATCATTTTGTATTTTAAACTGTGTCCATTTTCTTAAAACACAGGTATAGTGAGTTCAGTATGCAGATTATTGAAGGGAAAATATCAAGACGGGGCGAGGAAGACAACAAAACATGATTACCCAGATTGAGGATCCCAGTGTTCTTTGGTACAAACACATTTTAATAATAAATTTCATGAAATCTGTTACTTGAACAAACATTTACATTATTTAGTGCTTGAATTGCTCGGGAGTCAATATCGTCATATATTTGTAAAATAAAAATGTTCAATTTCCTTTGTATAGTCTCAAGCTACTCAGCCTACCATGAGAAAATTAAAAGATCTGTCATGAAGAAGAGGCTGGTTCTCAACTTTCATATTATAAATGGCAAGTATTGTTTAGAACTAAATTTAGATTATTCTTAATAAAAAATAACATAAGGGTGTTTGTCAATTCATAGCTATTATTTGTGATTGCACTGTGTATTAATTTTCAAAATCAATTCATTCTCTGGTGACCAAGTGCAGCAGTTTGCTTCAAACTCACAATTTAAAAAAAAAAAATATTGACTATATTTGTCCATATGTACAAAATGTTAATCACGGTATGAATTCTATTTCAGTATGATTGTCATTATCAATTTGAGGGACTCTCACCTAAAGTTCTTTTACTGTTCCATATCAGGAAAAAGGTCATGAGATGAAACATGCGATTGGGGAAAAAGGTACATATATCCTAAACCATAACTTCAGTATTATTCTGTTTACATGTACAGCTAAATTAAATACCGTATAAGTGGAAATTTTAGCGAGATGCAAATTTTACGATTTGTCCTTAAAAACTGGTAATTTATTTTTAGCGAGATGCTATTTTAGGGACTTTAAAATGCACATTTAAGAAACTAATACAAATAAAACGCAATTTTTAGCAATATTTAATTTTAGCCATCTCAACACCCTCGCTAATAATGCCAAAATTAAATCCTCGCTAAAAATTCTACTTATACGGTATGTAGCACAATATTGTTCTCTTTGTAAACTGACAACTGAGTAGTCAGGAAACCTATGATTTCTCAATATTTCAGGGATTTATTCTTTGTTTTTGTGTAGTACCCTTAAAAAATACATATTTCTCAAATTGTAATTTATAGGCTTTTTGTGATAAGGGATACATGACCTAACCCATTGATTCTTCATATAATATGTCAATAACAAGAGTTCCACTCATCTTATTAAATTAATAAATTTACATTTTTTGCTTTTTGAGATTAAAGGTCATGTATGAACTGTTTATTTATTAGTAAGGTTGTGCCTTGTTTTTAGTTTTATTTATCATGGTATTGTGAATTCTGATAACACGAAGCCGTTGAAAATATTCATACTTATGCATGGCACTGAAAAAAATACATTTTTTTCTTTTAGGAAAAGCATTAGGAAAATGCCTGCATGGTGAGAAAAGTTTTGAACTCTGAAAAGGGAGGTGTGACAAAAACATTTGACAGTTGTTGATTTCCACTAAAACCAATATCAACAAGAAAGAGGACGTAAAATAGTTTTATGTTGATTCACAACTTTAAATTTAAGAATGAACAGTTGTTTTTTTTATAAAACATGTCACATACAAAAAAAACATATTTGTAAAATGTACTTTGTCTTTGATATGTATGTAATTTGCAGGATAGGATGTGGGCAACATATACTGCCAAGAATCTTGATGATTTTAATTTTATGTTTGTAAAAAATAATGTTTTGTATTGTAATAAACAAAGTTAAAGTCAGCTTTTTCTTAATATGTATATTAATTATGATGTTTACATTTCCGCAACTTATCAATTTGGAAGGAAAACTTATTCATAATTTGAATAAGGCTTCATTCACTGGAATGGAAAACGGAAATTATTAACTTTTGTGGTTATTAAAGATGGTATTTGATTAAATTTAAGGTTTGTAATTATCAGATTGTGGTTATTAAAGATGGTATTTAATTAAATTTAAGGTCTGTAATTATCAGATTTAATATATCCTAAATACTGTGTTTAATGGTTGTAAATATTATCTTTACTTTTTTGTAAAGTCAAGACAATGTGGGACATTACATCATATTTAAGTGCATGTAAAGTTAATTTAAAGGTTACCTTTTCCAACTTTGACTTTTTTCAGAAAAGCCAATTAAAGGCATTGTAAATAATAAATTTACATTATCTTTACTTGTTTTGTAAAGCCAAATTTTCACGCAGTGAGTATTTCCGTAAAAAAATCGTTTTTACGCGGATAGAGGTTGGAGGATTGCAGGATATGAGGCAGGAATAGTTAAATTTATTATTTTACGTATAAACCTGAACATTTTGTGCACATATTTTTGACTGGTTAAAGCGACACAAGAAAATAATTGAGATAAACGGTGACAATATTAAGAAAAGTTACACGTACTCGTGTTATGCTTTTGACGTCGGGTGACGTCAAAAATTTTCATTTAAGTGCTCCGGGTGTGAGTGTGTGTCATTTTTAATTTGATAAAAATATAACTATTTGTGCTCTGTTTTTCTTGAAAACTTGCATGTTTATAAAATGAAACATGAATTTAATGAAAATAATAGTTTCATATATTCTATCAATGTTTTTTCAGAAATTATCAATGTTGTCCACGAACTTTCTGGACAACCCTCGTAAATTAACAAGGTATCTGTTAATACGTTTTTAGATTTTCTTTCAATAAGCCACAAAACAAGAAAATACATGTTACGAAAAATTCTGTGACAAACATTTCGAGTTTAAAACTATAAAAAAAATTTATCATGAGTACATATTTACATATCCGAGTGCATTTAAAATCATAATTGCTTTAATACACATACTGTGGATTGTGGATTTGTTTCTATGAGAGCTGTACAAAGCTTGTTAGCTAGGAATGGTTAGTGTCCATAAGGCGGAGAAGAAATGGGCAAGATATCTAAAAGATCAACGTACTAAAATTCATTATATTGTCTATGATTGCGAATAAAAAAAAAAACAAATGGTAAAATACACAAATTAAAAACATATTTAATTAGTTTGTGTATATGGTTTAGCTGGTCTTTAGTTGTCCCCTTCTTTCATTGAAAGTGGAGGATATTAATTTGGGTTTGTTCCTCCATCGGCCTGTCCTTCTTTTTGTCTGTCATTAATGCTTTCTTTTACATATGATATATCGAGAACCCCCTTTGGCTTAAAGGAGAACTCTTTTGATTTTAGTAAACATGAATATATGAAATAATTCTACAATTTCAGTCAGAGGGATAAGACCCCAGCCCCCTCCCCTTTTCTGCACATTCTTTACTTTTTTCACTAAGCGGCGGACACAAATTCTCTGAATAAGCTTGTTCTTCATGTTTTGTGATTAAATTCGCATCGTGATAAATGTAGAATGCCGCCTTTGCTTTTTTTTCGAGGGGATGATCCGCTTTGTTTCCTGATGAGTCTTGTAACTTCATAAAGTTTTTAATGACATTCTGATTCAAAATATATTTTTTAGAATAATGTACAAATGACATCAATCTTTTATAAATTCGTTATAGTAAGTTTAGATTACTGAGTTTGAAATGAAAAGACAATATTTTCTCCTTCCAAATCTCCGCTTTTTTGAAACAAGCTATACCCCACATGTACAAGTAAATAAATTTTAAAATAAGATTTTGGATATTTAAAATACACACTGACATAAAAAAAATAATTAAATGTTTTGAATTTATAAAATCACTCGAGGTAGATTTCTTTCGTAATATGAGCCAACAATATTGTGTAAGCCTCCGTACTTGTTAATTATATTCAATGGAAGCAAAACCTTTTTAAACACACATTCAAGAACCGAAGGTTTATTCAATGCATTTCCCATACAGCTTTAAGTTACCTATTCGTTTTGTTTTTTAATCGGTAATTTATAAATGAGACACTTCACTTTCTGGAAATTCTATCAGGGCAGGCATTTAATTTCGAAAGTACATCTACATGAAGAAAGATACGGATGAATGCTTTTGTTTTCCGTATTTATTTGCATTCATATGACTCATGCACTTTATAATTCATTGTATTCTAAGAACTGACTTTAAGATTGAACTATCTTACAGCTAATTCAATCTTAAAAAACCCATAAAAATTAAACACTCGTATCTTGGTGGGGACTTCAGGATTTCAATATTGATTTGAAGGGAATAAT